ATTCCTACTACACGGGTGTAACAACCGAAATACAATTTTGAGTAATTTTCAGAGCAGCAAAATGTTACTTTTGAAATACTAAAATCATACTTTTTTTGTCATGAAATACCGCATTTGGAGCAGTATAAATAAGAAAGATTACATTTTGAACAATAAAATATGCATAAACCATTCAACATCACCTAAACCGTGTAACGTGAACATGAGCACTGCTATTTTAATGAAAGTAGTGTTTTGAACCATCCCACTGAGCAAACAATGATGAAGTCGATATAAGCATTTGCTACGCCTGTCATATCATTTGACAGACTCTGCAAATTTAGATAAGAACCTGCGAATCTTGCGACCTTGAAATTTGGGAGATCCGTAAAATCGAGGAGTAAGGGTGGCGAAAAAAAAACTGTCGCACAATTCTTTTAGGAAGCAGAAATGTCATACACTGCTCTAAATGATTGCCAGTAGCTTATTCAGACGTCAGTGATTATACTGGTATTCAGAATTATGCGGTGTACAAACCAACATTCTTAGAATGTGGCACCAACTCGTATCCGCTCCGAGGGGCGGCTCTGGCATAGCATTGAAATCGAGCCGACGCCGCCGGCTTCCCGCGGCAACGTTGAATTCTTTTTTCTTTTTTTCCTTTTTTTGGAGTTCGCTTGCTGAGACCACAGCGGCGGGAGCTGGAAGGTTAGATTTCTGTCATCGCAAATAGTATTTAACATGGTACACAACAATCAAGCATGGGAATTAGCAGTTTAGCATAGTAAACATGCCGACCTGCGGAGCGCCAAGCTGTCACATTGACTATGCCTTTGAGGAAAACACTTGCGATCGACAGTGCTTTTTCAAACCCCCCAATCACCCTGCAGTTCTAAAGGCCTGAACAGCTACTATTCCACGAAAAGCCTTCCATTGATTGATTGATTTGTGGGGTTTAACGTCCCAAAACCACCATTTGATTATGAGAGATGCCGTAGTGGAGGGCTCCGGAAATTTTGACCACCTGGGGTTCTTTAACGTGCACCCAGATGACGGTCAAGACATACATTTCCGACTTACATTTTGAATTCAAAGACCTAATCACTGGCTACGAGCACACTGTAAGGAGAAACGTGAAAATTATATGTGGTAAGAGCTACGAGCACATCGTAAGGGGAAATGTGAAAATTCTATGTGGTAAGAGGACACCTAAGCCTCCTGCTGTTCATCGAAATTTCCTGAATGTTGTTAAAGTGCAAAAGGAAACCCCCGAAACTTAGAGAACCTGCGAATTTCGACGGCCGTGTGTCGGCAAGTGGTAATCATGTGTTGGACGTTAACATGGAGGAGAACAGCGATGTTCACAGAGCTACTGCCGTCCCCTCCGATCCTGAGTAGTGTCCAGAGATAGCAACTTGGTTCCATACACTACAAGATCGAACAATGCTCCAATCCCGGAATGCTGAGCTTATACAGGAAGTTTTCCTGTTTTTTTTTTTTCGAATTCGCTCTTTGTGCTGCGCTGAAAGCTTCAAAGCGAAGTCAGCCAGAATGTGGCGCTACAAAACCAAGTGGCTGACTACTTGCCCGCTCCTTAAAATATGGAACCCTGCTGCTGCTGATAGGTCCATTTCAAAGGTGAACACACTGCCTATGCCAACATCATGACTTAAACAAATAAATTATTAAGGGAATGCCTAGCATATTGGGATTCAAAAAGGTTTCACTCAGCAGCATCGGTTGTTGTGCTGGAGGAAGGCCGGTCATCAGTTAGTCCACTTCACTGGTAGAACCTTTTGAAAGCTGTGTTTTTATTTTTTGAATATCGTTAGTCAATTTTTTTTGGAAAAACATTGGCCTTAATAACCGTCTTTGTTAATTTTTGAGTAGTCGAGCGTAATTTTTGGTGAAGCTTCACTGGTTTCGTAGATTTCTCCATTTTTTTTTTTTCTACTGAGCTTGCTGATTTTTCCTTGTGCTCTTCTTGCATGGTGGGCATAAGTGTTTCCGCGTCAGCCCAAAAGTGCTCCTCCACATGTCCCGGATCTTCAGGGCTGATGTTGCGGACGAAATCCAAGGGAATAAGCTGCTATGACAGCCCGTGCATATCTTCAGGTGATCAACATAACTGAGAAAAGTTGATACAATGTGCAAGCTCGTGAGTTTCAGCTGACTTCCCAAACCACGTTCGTTGTATGCACACGAGGGAACAAGCTTCCCTCTACAACTGAGGACAAGGGTGAAGTCTTTTGTTACCACCACTGCCTTGTCGATTTCGATTCACCTTTGTTTTAAATAACTTTGAAAAAAAGAAACTTCACCTGGATAAGCTCAACATTCCTGGATTGGAACTTTCCCTGGTCGTGTACTATAGGCAACTGAGCTGCTACCTCTGGACATAACTTTGGATCGGAGTGGATGCCAGTAGCTTCGTAAACATCACTGTACTCCATGTTAATGTCAGGCACATTGAAACCAGTTACCGACGCATGGCCCTGGAAATTCGAGGTTTCTTGTAGTTTTGGGGGTTTCATTCTACGCTTTAATGCTGCTGATTTAGACTAGTGTGCAGGAATTTTCAAAAAAATTCTAGGAATATTACTGGGCTCAAGTGCCGATCTAACATGTGGAAATTAGACAACGTTTCTACTTACTTTGTGCTCGCAGCAAGAGATTAGGTCTTCAGATTCGAAATGTAGATCTTGACTGTCCCCTAGAAGGCTTCTCATGAAATAGTTGCAGCCCAAGCCTTGAGAACTGCATGGTTATTTGGAGTTTGAAGAAGTGCCGCTGATCGCAAGTGTTTTCCTCGGAGGCATAGCTATACTTCCGACAGCCCTGTGCGCTACAGGTCGGCATGTTTGTTATCCTACTTCTAATTCACTCAAGCATGCTTGATCGTTGTGTCACGTGTGAAATACAAATTGCGAAGAGCTTTTTTAAATAAAAGTTATTTTAAATACTGGCTGTATGTCATCTATTATACTGCATTCTATTTCTTTTTAAAATTATTTTTCCATCACATTGAAAGCCCTCCTCCAAACTCCTCGAATAACTTCAGCTACAGTCCAAGGAGTTTTGTGTATGAAACGCAACTTCACATAAAAATTATACCTTTTATGTCAGCTGCGCCAGATGTGAGGCTTGCAAGCTCACCATTAAAACACAGCAGGATTGCAGTGCGAATTTGCACAAGACTACGCATGTGGCCTGTCTATTTTTCCTTAGCTGTTCAAAAAGAACTACAGCTATTTCTCCATGTGTTCTTATGAGCAATTTATACGATGCGTAATTACAACAGGCTCGTTCACCTAGAATCGTCCATAACCTGAAGTCGCATATATGGCCTATTTATTGCAGAGGACAAGGCAGAATTTTTCGTCGGGGGACACCACTTTGACCTGAAGAGGGTGCCAGAGAGACAAAAGAGTCAAGTGTCACTTTTTGCTTTGTAAACAATAGGGGGAAATTGGGTTGTGGGGAGGAGGAGAAGAATGGTGCAGGCCCAGTGTGCCACCCGCTGGCCACACCACTCTGTCATTGCAGGCAAAGAAAGAATCCTACAGGTCTTATGTACAGGCGCGGCCCTTATTTATCACTAAGTAGTATTCATTCGGCCCTCATCTAGCTACTTTAGCTAAACCCTGTATTCGAAAACTAATTTCCCGCTGTTTCGCATGCAGAGGTAGCAGACGACGCTCCTTCACCAATACCAAAGTGACAGCAGTGCCGCTGCTCCGTGAGATATAAGAGGAGACCGCTCCTCGCCGCTGCGACCGCGCACGCTTACCCAACAGACAGTATCTAAAAACGTTGGTACTAACGCATGAGTAACCTTTAAAAATGTGCAGCGCCTCGTGACAAGTGCTAACAGCGCTTTTCAAATCTCAATTCGCTTTTCCACAGGGCACCAGTGTACTGCGGCGAAAGGGGCTTAAGCCCCATTCTCTGCACGGGTAAGAACCAAAGTCAAGAAATTTTCTAACCGCTACACCTCCTCCCCACCTTTCACCTTTTTTATTCTTTCAACAGGTGGTTAAATGCCGGTTCGTTCCCTTGCGAAGCGCATTTGACCAGGTAAAGTAACTACGGCCCGCACTCGCTGGCCCAGCGATGGTACCGAATATCTATCACGAGTACCGCGGCCGTACGACGCAACTTTAAAACAAAAAAATAGGTTTAATGTGCCACTGCTAAGGCAATTGACGTTGTCGCTGGCAATGTCGGCATTCGCAGCACGTAGAGCTAGTTCGCGCGCAGGAAAAGCAGCATACGTTTCCAGCTTTAGTTTTTAACAAACCATAGCAGCGTTTCCACGCTAGGAAATTCATATTTGCAGCGAAGCATGTCTGGCTACAGCAATGCATTTTTGCCTTCAAGTTCCATCACACCCCTGATAGGTATCCGCTGCAGTCAACACACTAATGGGCGCACAGCGTTTTTACTTTATCGCGTCATATTACAAGTACATTTTCGGCACTCCAGTTGAAGTCTGCGTGCTTTGATGGATGGTGCAAACTGCATGTAGTCGACATGGCCTTAATTCCTCGCCGAGATTAGCGCACCTAAGAAAATTTTGAGGCTGTCAGGGCATTTGGGCACAGTGTGGTGAAATTTCAGCAAATGTCATGGTTTTGGCGCAGCTCGGCACAACAATAAAAAATTGTATCAAATTGGTGCAATTCGCACAGCTGTTGGACCCCTGTTACTAAATGACGGCAACGCTGGGTTGCGTGCTGTCTCCAAATAAATCAAGAGGCATTTCATAGCTTTGTACGCAGAGTACTTGCTGCGATCTCATCAATTACAATGCAGTGAAGTGACAGGCAACACGAAAATTCCTTTGCTCGCTGTAACAACGGTATTCTGTTACGTCAGCCTTCTGAACGACAGTGACTGGTCGGACGCAAAAGCATTGAGTTGCTACCCACACTTTATGCAACAATTTGAAATGCCGCTGTGGCACCTTTGCGGCCAAACTGAATTTTTCATAAAATCTGATGAGAAACGCGCATACATACCTGAAGAACAAGTGTATGGTTCTGTTTGCATAGCAGTTGACGATAGAATTATCTTTTCGTCCGTTTGGGATCCTTCATGGTGCATAAGTAGCTGCACTTGAACCGATTTCTCTGTACCATCGTTTGTTTCACACGCTGGCTCTGGTGATGTTTCGACAGCTTGTCCCAAATCACAAGCCAGACCTGGTGCTACTTTAAGAACTTCCTCTGCTACAAAGTCGTCCTGAAATAAATTTGCTTGTCTTTTACAAGTGGTAATGCAAAATATTATTCCAAGAAAAAAAATGAAAGCACCTTACCTGATCTCTTTCGCTACTATAATTTGGTTTTGACGTGTATAGGATAGTTGTGCCTCCAGAAAACAACCATCCAAGAATCTGAAATAGTGCACAAAAAAAACGAGTTACTGATGTATACACATAAATATAGGAACTTATTGTAACTTTTGAAAATGAATTATTCTTAAATATCTCTTAAAAATGGAATGAAACCAATTATACTCTTTTATATTTGCCTAATCTATTTCCAATGCCACAGCCAGCACTGTCAATGTCATTCCAAAAGTCAAACCAGTCATGAATTAGGTGAGTTGAAAAATGATCATGACGTCCAGCGTAAACAAAACACGAAGGGAATATGAAGACGACAACAAAAGCGCTGAATCGTTGAAAGCACTGACACAGTGCTTCTGTCATCGTTTTTTTTCTCTCGTCCGTGTTTTTGCCATGAGTAAAGGAGAGCACAAGGCACGTGCCGAACGTGGAAGCGCGGCGACGATGCACGAGGAGAGAAGAGTCATTGGAGAGCTTGCGCACCAGCCACGTAAATGCAAGAGATTGGTCAGAAAAAGGCTCCTGGCACGAGACGCGGGCCGTGAAGAAAAAATCCTGAAGGATAAGCTGGCACTCTTTGTTGGGATGCCGAGATGCGAAGACGGGAAAACGAGCGTCGCTACAGCGACAGGAGCAGCATGACCCCCTGATTCTTAGGATGTTGGCGTGAAGGGACCCGGGAAATGGCCGTCGACCTTGGAGATGGTCCTCAGTGAGGCTGCCCAAACTTGCCGCATCCTGCCCAGCCGTTCCTAGTGGACTTGCAGCTTCCCCACATCTCATCAGAAAGAGAGCAGCCCACACCAGTCAGCCGAGTGGATGCGTCAAGGGGGGATCCCTTGACGAGCAGGGCCTCGCGAGGCTGGAAATTAAGACAAAGACTGAGACACTGGCAATGAGAACGAACGGTTTGTACGGCCGGAGCAACTTACGGCGACCGTAAAGAAATAGAGCAGGGACTCGACAAAACGTCGACGCCACAAGGGGCAACGAGTCACGACGCAACAATCTCTAACAATGTTCCATTGTTGACGCCATGTTAGCTTAGGGCTAGCAGCTAGGGCTAACAATAGATTGGAACTAATCTACAGCCAGTTTGGGTTCGCCCATGTAGGCAGATTGTTATTGAGTTATTGATTAATATGTGGGGTTTAACGTCCCGAAACTGCCATATGATCATAGAGACGCTGTAGTGAAAGGCTCCGGAAATTCGGACCACCTGGGGTTCTTTAACGTGCACCCAAATGTGAGCACACGTGTCTACATTTCTGTCTCCATCGAAAATGCCGCTGCCCCGATTCGATCCCGCGACCTGCGGGTCAGCAGTTATTGAGTTATTGGTTGTTGAAATATTGTATAAGATTTTTAGATGCGGAGCATCTTATACTCGCGCCTTGTAGTGCGCCGTCCGCACCGCTTCTCGAACATTCGACAGCTGACGCGCGTGCATGCGCCGTCGCGCCGTCGCCCACTCTTCCACCATCTGTGCATCCCTTCCTCCTCTACACACCGCGCGCGCTTCACTCCTCCACCATCTGTGCACCCTTCCTCCTCTACACACCGCGTTCGACATCTACAATTCTCCTGATTCTCCAGTGGACGCGCATGTGGCGTCGCGCTTCGAGAACATTCAACAGCTGACAGTGCATGAGCCGTCGTGTCGTGCTATATATATACTCAAGGTCGGCGCTCGCTCGCTCAGTTGCCGCTCGTCGGTTGGTTTGTACGGCGCATCGACGTCCAAGGTCGCGGTGAAATGAATTCCAACGAATCCACAAACACAATGATCGACGTCCCTTCGACCAGCGCCGCCCTTTCGCATACGTGTGTACGTGTTCACTCATTTAACACCCCCTCCTACAACCACGTTAACCAATTTAGCCATCGACCCAAGTAAGTCGCAATTTAACACCCCATTTCACAACCACGTTAACCAACTTAGCCATCGACCCAAGTAAGTCGCACTTTAACACCCCGTTAACCAGTTATATGGTCCGCATCCTCCTCAGTGTTCCCCCGAGGGAAGCTGCGGGCAATTTTTTTTAGTGTTATTGTTATTGAGTGCTGTAACGCGAATTCTGTGAATTGGTTTTGTCTGTCTGGTGTGATGAAGTATGTTTGTCTTGGCACACTCGCATCTTTCTCTCAAATCCACTCTTCACAAACACTCCCGAGATCAATATACATGGCATTTAATTGGCGAGCCTGCCAGAATAATTGGCAAGCTTACTGTGATCCTGGCAGGCTCCCCAATTAATTTGCCATGAACTCATCTTGAGAGCGCTTAGATCGATTGGAATTGAAAGAGTCGCGAGACGAACGTGACACAAATAACAAACGCTTCATAACCCAAAAGCTAAAAGGCAAGGAAATCGAAATCGAAAACGAAACCAACACTCATCACCACAAAATTATCCCAATAGCAGTAAAAGCAAAATACTCTACCAACCAGTCTAAATCTGTTCTTTGCCCCATAGCCACTGATCCTAATCCAATAGGGCATCTCAAGCATCGAACAATCTCATGGTTCACGTCCGCTTCCTTCCGATGCCATGTTGAGGTTTGCCAACTTCATAACCCGAAAGCTAAAAGGCAAGAAATCGAAAGCAAAAACGAAACCAACACTCATCACCACAAAATTACCCCAATAACAGTAAAAGCAAAATAGTCTGCAAACCAGTCTAAATCTGTTCTTTGCCCCATAGCCACTGGTCCTAATCCAATATGGCATCTCAAGCATCGAACAATCTCACGGTTCACGTCGGATTCTCTCCGATGGCATGTTGAGGTTCGCCAAGTACGTCGTTGACTTTCTCCTCAATGTCTCACTGTCACTGTCGATAGGTCCCGCTGGAATGAGCCGCTCGTCGTGGTCACCCGTGTCCCAGACTTAATTGTCTTTTTCGGCCTCGCTAAGCTAGGCTTAGCCTTGCCATGGACTCCCTCGATAGCAAGTCCGTTCTGCTGACTGGTGTGGGCTGTTGCCATCTTGCCGCAAAGTGCGGGAGCTGCAAGTCGCCTAGAAACTGCTGTGCAAAGGTACGGCAAGTCTGGGCAGCCTCACTCGGAACCTGGGAGGTCAACAGCCACTTCCCAGGCCTCTAACGCTGACACCCCTCAGAACTATGTGGCTATAGGCCTATTGCACTCACTTGATGGCGCCACCGCTCTCGTAGTGCACAGCGCCAATGTGGCAAGATTAAGCCTTTTGTCCTTATTCCCTTCTCGGCCCATAGCTTGGCGTTGTGTGCGGCAAAAGCCGGCTCGTGACAATGGCCACGCCAAACAAGTCTCACTTGCTATTTTGTGGCTACGGCCAGAAAAAAAAAACTTTGAGGGATATTTAAGACGAAGTAGTTTGCTTCATGGTGGTAACTTGTACGCCGCTAATCATGTTTATTGAGTGAAAGAACTCTTCAGTGCTGTCAGTCCGATGGAAATCTTCCGAAAGGGTGTTGTGCAAATGAGCGTAGAGATCAATACACTTTTTCTCTTGGCAAGCGATAGAAGATACTTATATCGGCAGCTTGGCACATCGCTTGTCCTATTATCGTTGCAAATTGGCAGAAAGAAATAATATAGTTGAAATGACACACTAACAGTAATGAAAGAACAGAAACCGCATGAAGTGCCCATCGCTTTGTTTTCTAGCTATGTTAATGTGCTAATTGAGAGCATTAGTGACTAAACGGTGGCAGAGTACGTGTTACGAGATCCTCTTCAGATTGTATTTTTATACTGAACAGGCCTAGGCGTGTGCAGTTCAGCAGGCATTATTTCATTGTCTGGATTGTTTGAAAACACTTATGTCTCTACAGGCATAAAAGGACTGTGTACTTTTCTTCTACTACAGGTTTTCCCGCTCAATTTAATCCAAGCGCCAGCCAAATTAGTCTAGGTGCCAGTCCATTTAATCCAGCCACCACTCAAATTAATCCAGATGCCATTCAATTTAATCTAAGTGCCACGGAAATTAATCCAACCGCCAGCCGATTTAATTCGGACGCCAGCGAACTTAATCCTGATGACATTGTGACTTCAAAACGACCCAGAATTTTCGGGAATGCGTGGAGTGAATAGCTTTGGAGTGAATTTAACAGGGAAAAACCATGAATGAGTCACTAGTGACTCAATGTGACTCGCGCGACTTTATCACACCTATCACCCGCGTAAGCTCTATTCACACCTTCGACCTGCATATCAAAGGAAACGCCGTCCACACAGTTATAACTTGATACTTATTAACCAGGCCAATGATCTCATCACGAGTGACTTAGGTGACGTCATCACGCATATCACCCACGCACGCACTGTCTTAACCTTCCGTCATGCATATCAAACGAAACGTCTTTGAAAGGGCAGGAGCTTGATACCTAAAACTCGGCCAAGCCATTGGATCACCATTGACTCAGGGGACGTCATCACCCATATCACCCGCGCACGTAATTTACTCGCCTGCCGACATGCATAGCAAACGAAACGTCTTTAAGAGAGCAATAACGTGTTACCTATGACTCGGCCAACTGACTTGATCACTAGTGACTCAGGTGACGTCATCACGCCTATCACCCACACACGCAATGTCTAACCTGCCATCATGTGTATTAGCCGAAACGTCTTTGAGAGGGTAATAACTTGAACGCTGTCAATCGGCCTAGTGACGTCATCACTAGTGGCTCGGGTGACATCATCGCGCCTGACAGCTACGCACGCAGTGTCTAACCTGACTTCATATATATCAAACGAAATGACTTTGAGAGAGTAATAACTTCAACGCTGTCACTAGGCCCAGTGACGTCATCACTAGTGACTCACGTGACGTCATCTCGCCTAAGACTCACGCAAGCGCTCTCTAATGTGCCTTCATGCATATCAAACAAAACGTCTTTGAGAGGGTAATAACTTGAACGTTGTCACTGAGCCTAGTGACGTCATCAGTAGTGACTCACGTGACGTCATCATGCCTATCACACACACACGCAGTGTCCGAGCCTGTCTTCATACATAACAAACGAAACGTCTTTGAGAGAGTAATAACTTGAACG